GGAGAAAAGGAATATCTATAGCATCTTTGTAAGCAAGGTGGCTTCTGAAAAGCACTCTCAGTTCAGATGGGAACCCTCATCAAGCTCAGCAGAGGCCACTTGGCAAGAGAATGCCAGTAATTGCCTTGTCCAGATGATTTAAATCTTTATCCCATTGTTTTCAGTGTGCTCTCCACCTAGTATGGACTGTCTGCTCTACTGCTAGCCTCTACTACAGTCTGAAGGAGGCGTGGATATGGCTGAGGTGTCATACTGCCTGCTTCCTCTCAGCAGTGCAGTCTATCACCATTTTTCTTATTATAATCAGGAATAGTATTCCAAAAACTTCCTACCATTGCTAGCCCATCAATCTTGGAAGAGCAATAAATACAATGAGGAAGAAATCATGCATAAATTGCACCAGGATTAGAGAAATTCTGATCACCTTCTGTGCTTTTTCCTGCATAGCAAAATAACACCTGAAAAAACTTCCTTCCAGTCAGATATCACAGGAACAAATGATCGTGGAAGCATCCATTGTGATTAGTGATTGGGATAATGTTTTGCTAACTTCTCAAGAGTGACTGTTCAGACACCATTTTACATTTACTGACCAATCTGTGTGAAAAATAAAGATTACCAGGAAGAAATAAATCAATCTAGAAGCCTTGGATATAGCCCTTATCTCCTTTGGTCTTACCATTCCCTCCATTCCTTAGTGATTTAGTACATGTACCATATAAATGACAATTTTAAAAAATCCCTATAATGTCTAGATAATTTTCAGAAATATCCTATGGATGCCTTTCCTGAAGCTATGCTTCTATGATATTTTATTTCTGACATAGAGAGTATAAAAATTTCTGTCTTGGAAAAAAAACCAGAAAAATAAACATTGTTAGGCTAAAGCTAAGTAGTGACCTAGGAGTATCACTGAGTATCTGCTGAGGTGTTAACCTATCTGGTCAGTTGAGCCCCTGTATAGGTTACTCCAGACCCATTTGAATGATCTAAGATGGTATAGGTTTACAGGACAGACAGCTTTCAGAGGCAGTTGTCAGGTAAGCATTCAGTACCTCCAAAGCTTGTCTAAAGAACAGATCTGACCCATAAATAATTTAAATAAAAAGACCAAAGACATGATCTGGTCACTATTAGAACTGCCAAGAAATCAAAGGCTGGTCAGATAAACAAGGAAATTATTTTGTATAAATCATTCTTCAGTTCAAAGTCCAGACTAAGACTTCTGCATTCCCTTTAGCTGGTCTTGTTTATGTCAACTATTCAAATGATCTTTTCCTTTTTTCACAAATATGGAGCTAGCTGTATCTTTAATTATTTCACTTTCTTTTAAATAAATAGAGACAATTTTTTAAATCTTTATTGGTTGTGGGGGTGTTTTGGCAGGACATATCATCTTAAAATACTGTTATATATGAGAACAGTTATTCACTAGTATGAATAAAATTAAAACTATCTAAAAGCATAGCCACTGCACTGTTCAGCTGATAAGGTCAATGTTACTAAATTGATCTTGTCCTTTGCCAAACAGCTGCACAAAATCAGAACTTTTTGTCCTTTTTAAATGATCTCTTGTCTGTTTGAAAATTCACTTTTCAAAAAGAGAAAACGTTTAAGAAAGGCAATGGACATTGCAGATATTCATGATAAGATCTACAGAGCCAGTGGAGTGTCCAGTCCATTCCCAGTGGGAATTGCCTTGCAGTATTTGAAAGGGAATTAAATATTTTCTTTAGATTTACAAGCACAGATTTCTTCAGAATGGCTGCTACAGAAGCACCAAATTACTTTTCCTGTTATACCTGAATGGAAAGGACAATGATCTCCTAACCTGTACAAGGCTGAGTGCTATCTTACACAACAAATGGATCTTCATGAAGACCATAATGGAAGTATTGACCCTCTATACAGGCTTCAAACCCCTGTGTCTCTCTTACAAAGAGGGCTGAGGGAACTGGGCCTGTTTGCTGTGAGAAGAGATGACTGAGAAGGGACTTCAATGTCTAGAGTCTCTGAAGGGAGGCTTTTCAGAGGCTTTTCTCAGTGGTCCCAGGCAACAGGACAAGAGGCAGAAGGCAGAAACAAACGCACAGGAATTTCCACCTGAACACCAGGAAGAACTTCTTCACTGTGAGTGTGCCTGAGCACTGGAACAGATTGTCCAGAGAGGCTGTGGAGTCTCCCTCACTGGGGATGTTCATGAACTGTCTCACACAGTCCTGTGCAATGTGCTCTGGGATGACAGAGCAGGGAGGTTGGACCAGATGACCACTGTGACCTCCTCTGAACTGACCCGTCCTGTGTTTATGTGTCCCAACAGCACAGGATCTGGATTTTGTTAATGATACGATATGGACATGATAATGAGTAGAATGATTTGAATTATATGAGTAGAACAGAACAATATTTTACTCTTATGAAGGACAGAAGAATAGAACAGTACAGCCTTGGAGAAATAGATAAAGGATGAAACTTCAGCAAATAGAACCCATGCAAATCACAAGCAGGATGCCAGCTCAGCTCTGTCAGGCTGACAAAGGTGAAGTTATGCAAAAAAATTATATTGCACTTACTCAAAAGCAGGTATTGAGGAACAGGCACCTAAAAAGGATACGGGACATTGAAGACAGGCCCCAAAGAACCTGTGAGGACTTTTGATAAGGGATGAGACTATGTAAAATAAAGTAAAACGTATACATCCAGTATGGGGGGATAGCTAATGAATATGTGATCATTCTTGTATGATAAACACCTTGTTTACCCGGCACTCAGACATTTGATTAGAGACAGGATCCTCCAACTGCCCAGCAATTGCAGCAAAGAATGCCTGCTCTCTAATACTCAAAACCATGTTAGAAAGTTTCTATGCACCTGACTGTGGTATCACAATGTTCGATAATTTAATTTTCATTATCTTCAATAAAAAACTTACAAACTAAAAGAGCTATGGATTCTTGATTTTCAATAGAGTATCATCAGTTCACAGATGAAAGACATTTGTGTTTTACTGAAATAAAAAAAGTGTAGCCACTGAAAATAGGCTTACTTGTCTAGCCAGTTTACAAAAAAATCTTGTAAATTGTTGTCCTTTCAAAGCTGAAATGAGAAAAAGCTTAAAAAGAAAACACATTTCAAAAATAATTGTAGTTGAGGGGCATGTTGTACATTAACATTCCCCTCAACATCACTTTAATCTCTCATTTGTCTGTCTAGCTTTCTTTCATTGACTTCCTGACTTAGATGAAATCTCATCTATCTTCCCAATGAAAAGATTAAATCCTGACAGAGTCAGCAGTTTTTCCTTTTAAAAGCAGTAAACACTGCTTTTTACCCCACCAAAATATTTTAAAATGACAGACTGAATATTATGATGCATAGAGAATATACTAAAAATGTTTTACTAAACATTTTCAGCACCTGTTCCCAGATATTTGCATGGTATTTGTGCATGTTTGCCCTCATTTTTATGAACAATTTTTCAAAATATACAAAGGTGATTAAAGCAGGTATGACTATCTTTATTCTCTCATGGCTCTGCTTTCCTTTGAAGAGTAAATAAAATTTTATTGTAATATCCTTTAAATTACTTTTATTAAATGCATTTTGCTGGGATCCTCTTGGTATATAGGATTTCATGCCATTACCTGGTAAGATTCCCAGTTAAATGTATTCAGTGGATAACTAAGGGTTGGGAAGTGAAGGGGAACATTGGCTACATTACAGATTTCTAGAAAAGAATTTGCCTTATATGATAAGTCATAGACACACATCAACAGAAGTTGTTTAAAATAACTGAGAGATGGAACTTTACCTATATCCCATTGCATTATCCCATCTTAGGGAGCCAAGGAAAGACCCAGACCTTTGAAGAAGCATCTACAGAATCCTGGGTGAAGACTCAATGTAAACATCAGCACAGCATGTAAGATTCCACTCTTTCAAATATAATTCCTGCTATTTAAGTCTATGCAACATCAAAGATACATTTACAGGTACAGTCTTGGAGAGTAGCAAGTTAAGATGACACAATAATGTCACTTGGTATGCAGGGGGAGGTTAAAGAGAGGATTAAAACCAGTCAGGCACGATTTATTAAAGGAATCCATGACTAACGGGGTGTGACAGCAAAGGGTTTCATTCTTTTCAACAGAAAAGATCCCTAGGGCTTGAAGTATTATTCCACTATGCCTTTATCACCTTGGAATTTTTAGGGTTATTTTTGATGCATTCACATTTTCATAATTACCTTTTTGGCATTAAGCCAATTTTAACTTTTAATTAAATCCATAAATAAACTTAATTCTTCTTTAAAAGGTTTGTTTTTCTTATTTTTCATTATTATTCCTGCCAGGAAATATTTCAAATACCAAAGCATAATGTTAGTTAGTAATTATAACTTCACAAAGCTCCAGTAACTACCTATGTTGTACCTTGTAAACATTATACTAGTGATTAATAGGAGCTATGATGAAAAATGCTCAAAAAAAAAAAAAATCCTTAGGTAGCAACTCAGCTCTTTAGAAAGAGACTTATACATATAAGCATTTGATGACTCATGGATTTGACATCCACAGGGAATCAGCATTGTGAAATATCTTGGTATTATTGGAACTATCTGGGATATAGAAATACAATTTGGAGCTTAGTCCAGCATACTGCCCTCAAAATCCATCCTCCTATCTGAGACTGGCCAGTATTTTGTAATACTGTGTATTTACCAAGTAGCAGAATTTGAAACTAAGAATTTATGTTTGCAAAAATTATTTTTACTTGAGTTGTTATGTTCATTCAGTGATTAACCAGCAGAAAACAGAAAGCATTAAACCATTAAGTCAGAGATGGAATTATCTTTATGCAAACCACACCAATCTATTTGCTCTTTTTTCTAATTTGAAGTCTGAAATCAACCCAAGTACTTGAAGACGCATTGAAACATCTAATATTATAACGCTGATTTCTTTACATATATTTTACACTAGTCAAGACAGCATAAAAATCACCTTTTTCCTGACTTGTTGATCTTTGGAAGAATGGGCTTTCACATGTTTTCTCAGGGAACTTGGATCTGTGTATCGCTTAGAACATCCTGGAATCTCACATGCATAAGGTTTCTAAATAAAAAAAAAAAGGATAAAGTAAGTGTTGTGTCACAGATTATTTTAACTCAAGAGAATATTTCTTGAGCCTTGGGATGCTACAAACCACATTGCTACAGAACAATGATATTGTATATTATTACATGCAGAAAGCTTCACAATTTGTTAGAAGAGGAAAGGATGGAGTAAAGCTTTAAAGGAAGACAAACAAAAGGAAAGTTTTCATTACTACCTTTCATGATTACCTTTTTTTTCTTAGTAGTCCAATGAATATTGCTAGATATACTTACAATTCTTCCACCCTCAGAGCAATCTTTGACTTAGTCAGAAATTACAGTCTTTAGTGAATCAGGTAAAGAAACTGTAGTAAAGGCCCGGAAAGACTGTTTAGGATTATAGAAGGATCTGCTTCAGAAAAAGAGAACAAGAAAAAGTGTTAGTTTATTATATTACAAAGAAGGCAAGCAAAACCCCAACCAAGCATTGAATACTGAAGTTTTTAAAGTATTACATAAAAAAACACATTTTAATGTGAAATACTGACCAACTCCTTCAGCCCACATTTTCTAATAATACTTCATTTTAGAAAAATACCTGTAAAATATCCTGTAATATCTTTATCATTTTCTTGAAAGAATTCCCAATAAATCTAACTCATATCTCATCTTGCCTGTTCTAAGCTGCCTGTCTTGCCTGAAGACTTGTAGGTTCACAATACTAAGTATTAAATTAACATTAGGTCCAACTGTTTCCTGGAAGTAGCTATTCAGCAATTTATTCACTTATGTTCCCCAAAGAATTTCTGAAAACACCTTGTACAGATTATTAACTTGCCAGTCATACTTTTGATTATTCAAAATGGATAATATACTTTTTTAAAGAGCTACTCTATTCAAATTGCACTCTTTTAATCATATTTCTGGACTTCTGACCTTTGGAAACTGTCTCTGAAAAAACAAAATATTTTTCTGAGACAGAGGTTTTTAAATAAATTTCAGCGATCACTCAGATTTACAAGGGACAATCTGTTGGCACAAAAATTTTTAGATTTGCAAAATTATTCTGTCTCTCTTGACTTTCTGGTACATGCCCCGCCCTTAACTTTTCATCACAGAAAAGCACTTTATATTGCAGATGGTTTCAGTTTCCCTAAAGATCAACTAAGTGGGAGAAAGCGACAGCTTCTACCTGCAGCAAAGACCATGGAACCTGTGGTCACTTCATCAACCAGCCTGGGTCCATGCTCAGATGACTGGGTCACTTTTGAGGCAGCTTCAACAGCCTCATCAGACCATCCACCCTCCTGTCTCTAAGGTTATGGACTACCTGCTGTCACCAAGCTGGAGGGAAGGAGAAGATGGTCTAATGCTCAGGGGGCTGCAGTGGGGCTTCTGTGTCCTTACAGTGTCCAAGTGTGTCCTCTGGTGCTTGGCGCGGTCGCTGGAGTTGCTGAAAGCTTTCTGGCAGCCAGGGTGCTGGCAGAGGTACGGCTTCTCACCCGTATGGCTCCTTAGGTGAATCTTGAGATTTTCTAGTCTGGAAAAGGCTTTCTTGCAACCCTCAAACTAGAAAAGAGGAAGGAATTATTTGAAAGGCAAGCGCACACAGTAAACTGCAACAGCAAACACCAAACAGAAGGGTAAAAGGGCATGCAGGGACCTCCAGCCTGCTACGGCTGGGTAGCTCTGCAAGGTCTGGCTTCTCACCCTGGGTGCTGCTGCAGGGCTCAAACCATTTAGACAGTAAAAATCCTATCCTCCCTGCACATGGCTGAATTAGGAGAGCATGTCCTACATTTTACAGATGGCACACTGAGACCCAAAGGGACCAGCCAGCTGAGAGTGCAGCACCTGCCTGGGAAACACAGCACCAGCTGAATCTCCTCCCTGTGGCATACAGATAGCAAAATGGTCACTGTGAGGTTCCCAAGAGTTCTGCTAGCTATCCCTGCCTCAGCTCCAGGCTTCTTCAGACATTAGCAACTGAGCATACAGGGGCATCTCTCAGTACCAACCCAACCTACAGAGCAGCAGCAAAGACATGCAGGAAAATTCCAATCTGCTCTGACTTGCTCATGGTGATGTAAAAAGTGAAATTATTTCTGAAATATACTTTTACCTTTCTGCCATGAGTAAATGTTTGACATACTAAAAATACTGTGAATCTGTCAAAATAAGATGTAATTCCTGTGGGAAAACAATAGCCATGTGGCATAGTACTTCTATACCTAATCAAGTACTTCATCTGTGGAGAAACCTATGTTTATATGAACAGAAAACAAGTGTTTAATCTATCATGTTCTCATAGTATACTGTAACCTAAGGGAAACTAAAAGATCCATTGTATTTGACCCCAGCATTTTTATATACGCTTGATTTCAATTAGTCCTAAATATTTATGAGTATCAGAAGTATAGGTTTCTAAAATTCTGTCAGTCAGAATCAATTAATCTCATTAGTTTCTGTTGCTGCATATCCCATTATGCAACATCTAAAACTTCTGATGCATAAGAATCTGCTAGTTTGCAGTTCTTGCATGCTTGCAAAAATAACAATTGTGTAGTAGAGATGTTTCCAAAGCTAACACAAAAATTTCCATCATTTCACTACCTATTAATTTTATTCACTTAAAGATAAACAGGCCATTTTTTACTGGTGTCAGAATGACAAAACTAAATTTTATAATATATTATGCAGTGCATGTATGTTTACAAAAGCACAAGTAGGAGAACTGACATAATTCTAGTCATAATTAGTATGCCTTTCTTACAGGTCTCTAACATCCTCAAAAAAAAAAGATTAAAAAAAAGATAAAAATTAAATATAAAATTTGTATCACTTAATTTTAAGCACATCTTTTGGATTACTGCTAAAAAACATTACATGTTCAAAGACTAAAGTGTAAAACATTACCTATAAACCAGCAGTATTAAAATTAAGCTTAAGAAATTAAAGCTTGATACAGAGGATGACCCACTCCTGCTATACCATAATTGCAATATATCTTTCCTACACATGCACTTCAGAAAATGTCTCCACCCATGAAACCTTTTATATATGTTCTATTCCTTTATCCAAAACAAACCAGTGCTTTTCAGATTATCCAGTTTTGATCACTGAACATTAATTTATGCTTATAAATTAGTGTTACATTTATGTTATGGAGCTTTAGCATGCATATAAAATATTGTTGCAAGTGTAAAAATATTTTTACTCTTAAGAGTTTTACTCTTTCATAAAATATTACAGGATAAATAAAAAAAATAAAATACACCAATATATCTTAAAATTGCCTTGATAAAAATATCACTTTTTTTTGCTAGGAAAATGTAAAGAGTAGAGACATCATAAAAACATGGGAGCTAAAAAACTTTGAAGGGATCTTAAAGATCATTTAGTTCCAAACTCTGCCATGAGTAGGTAGACCTGTTAGAACAGGTTGCACAATGCTCCATCCAGCCTTGGCTTGAACACTTCCAGGGATGAGACAACTTTTCTGGGCAACCTGTGCCAGTCTCACCGTACTCACAATAATAAATCTCTTCCTGACATCTAATAAAACTGTACTCTTTCAGTTTGAGCCTTCAAAACATGACCTTCAAAAAGTAAAATAATTCAAGAGCACCTCTGTTAAAATGAGAAATAAATCTACTGATTACCCTATCTTATACAGGCAAGTTATTATTTTCTAATAATATCATGAAAGAACAACCATACATTCTAATGACTGTAACTGCGATGTACGTAAGAATAATTTTAGTATCTCAAAAAGCCATTAATTTTTTAGGGTGAAACTCAGACCAATGGACAAGTTGTAGAAGCATGACTTTGTTTTGTTTATTTCGCAGGTTGTTAAACTTTGAGTTTTCAAGTATACAAATGAACTTAAGTTATTGTTTATATGGCTGTAAAAGTACCATTAATTTTAAATAGGCAAAAATGTTTAAGTAAGCAGGACTGGGGAATCTTAACATACAAATTTAATAATTATTATTTCTGAAGACTTCTGCATTGCTGAGTATAAATTGGAAGAAAAGATAGTTCTCTCTTCTCTCCACAGCCATAAATTACTGTCTGGCATATTCCCAAGGCAATATATAGTTCTGTGTTGCTGGAAAGGTCATTCTAGCAAAACAGTCTACAAGCCTGTATTACTAAGAAAACCTTCTTTACTCAATAGTTATTGAATGTTTCTTCTATAAATCAAATTTCTTAAACCTTGGATATCTCTCATGCTTAAGATAAAAGGAATGAAAATATACTCTTTTCAACAACACAGAAAACACTTTCTATCTTGATAAAAAGATTGCAGTGGAAGTATCATAGACAAGACAGGATCACATACAGGGGGAAAAAAGTCAGGTAGTTGATATATATTTTGAAATGGAACTAATAGTTTTCTAAGGTTTTAACTGCTGTAGTCAATTAAGTATATGACATACCTTTAGCATTCTGAATCTTTTTAATAGATTAAGTCCTAAATATATCCTGATTAAACCAGATTTTTTGCAAGTCTTATGTGAAATTAATTGTGCAATGTTTTCCTAAACTGCAGTACGGAAATCAGTTACTGAGCTTCTATTTTTACTGCTGCATGCAAATTGAAACCATTAAGTAATTCATACAGAAAATTTCCTCTATGTACTTCCTAAAGTCCTTTTTAAAATACATTCATGTTTACTTTCTCCTTTTATAAGGATGATTATGAAAAGCAAGAAACCATGTGTTTACAGGGTAAAGCATATCAGCAGAAAGAAAGCACAGTTTTATGACTTTAAAACATTTGTTTTCTCATGAGTGCACTGTTCATCCTTGTTTACACAGAGATGATGTTCAGTATACCAGGCAACCCTCCTGTAAGATGACAATATAATTTCCTAGGTTATATAAAATAATCTGTGCAACATGAAAAGCCCTGCTGGATGCACTATGCATTTCTGAGCCCTTACTGGAATTCAATGTGTAATATATTTAGACTCTTGAACTATAGAACAGCATGGTAATACCTGTGTGAATACTTCAGTATCAGTAGCAGATAGTCAGTGGCCAAGTGACTAAGAAATTCGCCAGTTTTCTCTGCAAAAGGAACTGTTTTGATTATCTCAGTTAATCACTAGTATAGCAAGGATTGAAGAACTTGTTCTGGCAGATGTCTGTATGAGCTCTGATCCATTCACTGAAAAATATGTAGCCTTCATATAAAAATGAAACACAGCCAGCCTAGCTTCTTCTTAATCCAGTATCTAATATTATCCAGTATTAAATATATTCACATTTTCCTGTCTGAATAGGTTTTGCTTCAGCAGCCAGGCAGGGTATTTTCTTTTGTCATTTTTCTGCTGTATTAACATTATAAGCAATGTAAAAAGTAACTTTTTTATTCTAGGTATTTTCTGTTATCCAGGTATTTAACCTACTCTTAAACAATTTATACATATCAAAAATATTTGCTTTCTCACTATACACAGTGCTTTCTCAGATCGCCTTCAAAATTGATTCCAAACCTCCAAAAAATGAAATTAAATTAATTATTTTTAGAAATACTGACACCTGAACAGTATTTGATTTTACAGAAATGTTCAATCCAGTATACAACACAGTGTTACTGTCTTCAAGTTTGGGCTTTTATCTTTTTTTCATCTGAACCAGTTGTACAGTAATCTGCAAATATTTCTAAGTATAACTGGTTTTGGCAAAGGATCATATTTTCTTTTTTGAGGTATGAAGAATAAGCATTTCCCTTCTCCATTGTCATGTGTGAGAAAATATTTATGGAATATTATAATGAATAAATTTAATTACATGTTCCTCATCTGATCTGTCTCTAAGCTTACTGGGAGAGGGGTGATTTTCCTTTTTAAATTTGACTTTGCAAAACTTAGTCTGCCTATAACAATTAAATTGCAGCAGCTGGCTTTCTGTGTACAACAGCTAGCTATTGTACACACAGGATCTCAGTAAAAAACCTAGATACTTTATGGACAGAATTTATTATTTCTTAAATAAAAAGTGAATACAGGTCTCAGGCAAGAAGTAAAAGAGAGTGAGAACCCCTCAAAAGGCTCTGGTATAGGGAAACACATGAGCTACATTCAAATTACCTCAGAAAGTTAGATATTGCATGAGCTTGATGGAAAGGTGAAGAACTCTTAAAATCTCTGCTGGTATGACTTGGGGGAAATCAACACAACCCTAAGTACACTCAGAGGATATATTAACCAAGTGGTTCAAATGCATGCCCAGAGCTGCAAAATACCAGCTCATTTGGCTTAATAAGCCATTCAGTCATGGGGAACCTTTCATGATGCAAAATGAGAAGAAAAACGTGCACCCAGAAACTAAGATACATATCAGAGGGGAGAATTTTAAAAGGTTTTAAAAGGCCAACAAGGTAAGAAGCTTTACCTTAGCAAAAAATACTTCCCATGAAAATCCAAAAGAAAAAATAATCTACATCCCTACCTTCCATACCTCTTCTTCATTAAGCACAACGGAGGCCAGAGTGGTCCAAGGATACATGGCATCATAACTGTGGGACTGGGCTTTCCCCATTGCATTCACACAGG